GAGCTCCATGGGGGTATCAGGAACCCAACCAGGGCCACCAGGAACCCCTGGGGAGCTCTGTGGGGGTATCAGGAACCCAACCAGGGCCACCAGGAACCCCTCCAGAGCCACCAGGAACCCCTTGAGATCTTCCATGGGACCACCACAACCTCCCTGGGTCCACCAGGAACCCCCTGGGGCCACCAGAAACCCCTCGAGATCCCCCATGGGACCACCAGAACCCCCTGGGGCCATCAGGAACCCCTTGAGATCCCCCATGGGACCACCACAACCTCCCTGGGGCCACCAGGAACCTCTTGGGGCCACCGGAAACACCTCGAGATCCCCCGATGGGACCACCAGGAACCCCTCGAGATCCCCCATGGAACCACCACAACCCCCTCGAGATCCCCCATGGGACCACCACAACCCCCTGGGGCCATCAGGAACCCCTCGAGATCCCCCATGGGGCCACCAGGAACCCCTCAAGATCCCCCATGGGACCACCAGGAACCCCTCGAGATCCCCCCTGGGGCCACCAGGAACCCCTCGACATCCCCCATGGGACCACCACAACCTCCCTGGGTCCACCAGGAACCTCTTGGGGCTACCAGAACCCCCTCAAGATCCCCCGATGGGACCACCAGGAACCCCCCGAGATCTCCCATGGGACCACCAGAAGCCCCTGGGGCCACCAGGAACCCCTCGAGATCCCCCATGGGACCACCAGAACCCCTCGAGATCCCACATGGGACCACCACAACCCCCTGGGGCCATCAGGAACCCCTCGAGATCCCACATGGGACCACCACAACCTCCCTGGGGCCACCAGGAATCTCCTGGGGCCACCAGGAACCCCTCGAGATCCCCCATGGGACCACCACGAACCCCTCGAGCTCCCCCACCCCCCACCACCACCACCACCCTTTTAACCCCTTCCTCACCACCACCACCCCACAGCGCCTGATCGACCGGTCCAAGGTGACGCGGGTCAAGTGGCTACCGGACACGGAGCGCCTGTTCCTGGCGTCGCACGCCAGCGGCCACCTGTACCTGTACGACGCGGCGCAGCCGAGCGGCGCCGGCAGCCCGCGCTACTCGCTGCTGACGCAGGGCGAGGGCTTCAGGGTCTTCTCCTGCCGCAGCAAGACGCCGAGGAACCCGCTGCTCAAGTGGGCCGTGGGCTCGGGGCCGCTCAACGAGTTCGCCTTCTCGCCCGACGGCCGCTCGCTGGCCTGCGTCAGCCAGGACGGCGTGCTGCGCGTCTTCCACTTCTCCTCCATGCTGCTGCAGGGCATGATGAGGAGTTATTTCGGGGGGCTCCTCTGCGTCTGTTGGAGCCCCGACGGTCGTTACGTGGTCACCGGCGGTGAGGATGATTTGGTGACCGTGTGGTCGTTCGCTGAAGGTCGTGTGGTGGCCCGAGGTCGAGGTCACAAGTCGTGGGTCAACGCGGTGGCTTTCGATCCTTTCGCTCCTCCCGATGGTGCTCGGGAACCCCCGAGCGTCGCTTACCGCTTCGGGTCGGCCGGGCAGGACACGCAGTTCTGCTTGTGGGACCTGACCGAGGAGGTGCTGGAGCTCCGGTCCGCCCATCCCCGCCTCCGCCCCGCCGCTCCCGGGGATCCACCGCCGGTGGTGGTGGTACCGGCGCTGCCGCGCTCCTTGTCCCGCTCCAACAGCCTCCCCCAGCCCGCCGGGGGTCCCCAGATGTCACCGCGGGTCCCTCCGGTGATGAGCACCGGGCGTTTCTCCACGCTGACCCCGCGGGAACCCCGCGGCGGCGGTGCCGGGAAGGAGCAGAAGCGTTACCACAGCCTGGGCAGCATCAACCGGGCCGAGAAAACCGCGCCGGGGGTCGGTGCCGGGGCGGCGCGGGGGTCGCTGGACATGGGCAAGGTGCTGGGCACGGCGCTGTGCCCGCGGCTGCACGAGGTGCCCCTGCTGGAGCCGCTGGTGTGCAAGAAAATCGCCCAGGAGAGGCTGACGGTGCTGCTGTTCCTGGAGGATTGCATCGTGACTGCCTGCCAGGAGGGGCTCATCTGCACCTGGGCACGGCCAGGGGTCTCTGTGAGTGTGGGGAGGGGTCTGCGAGGGGGTTTGGGGGGTCT